GACCATAACCCATAACTGTGAAGTCTGAAAAGGATGATGCAGTTGGAAATGAATAAAGTTGCTTATACTTGAAAGGTTGCAAATACCGAATTTATCTGAGACATGTCACCTCTTGAGTTAAACACATCGGGTCCTTTATTTGCCCTTAATGTTTCCTGGTGATCTCTTTCAAAACGGAAGACTTCCTTATACTACACGCGGATGCCCCTCCCCTCCAAAATCATCATAGTACTTCCTATTGTTAACATTAACGATGTTTTTCTCGGCCATGGGTGCTAAATCGTCCGTGGTCCCGCAACGTGACAGCTTTAAAAATATCATGCGAGAGACAAATGATGGATTTTCTGGCTTTGTCTTTCTGTGTTTTCATATTCTGCCTGTTCGTCCTTCAAATGTTCCCAAACAGGTTTATGTGTGAAATGACAGTCTTGGACCTCCAACTCTCCTTGTTCCAATTGGATTACTGTTAGCTGAATCAGGTGAGTAAGTAACTTGTCTCACGGGGTCACTATTGTCAGTTCGCACGGTTCTTTTTCTGAAAAGGAGGTCAGAAAACAGTACAGTAGTACTTCGCATCCCGCCATCTGGGATGCTGTCCTCAACACAAATTTGTTTGTGTTTCTGCGGTTGATGAAAGTTGATTCCAATCCTAAAATAGACCGTAGTCCTCAAAACAGGAAAGCACTTTCTTCATCATGGCTTGGGTCAAGTGCAAGGTTTCTAGTCCATAGATGAGTTGGTTTTGTATAACGGCTTGGTAAACACGGAGTTTCCCTCCAGTTGTGCAGTGAGCTGCTTTCCAAAAAGGTTTGAGCCTGTACCACGCCCTCATCGTTTGTTGCATTCTGAGCCCTATTTCATGTCTCACATTGATGGACTGGGTAATGCTGATAACGTTTCAGTCAAAATGACTCCATATATGCTGACGCAATCATAAAACGATCAGCGCACTCGTTTAAACCTATGAATGCAACCAGTCAAAGCAAGCGAATCTTCAAATGCTGTTGCATCAGATCTTTACTGTATCTTCCAAAGTGTCAGCATTGTTGACTTTCAGCTTCTTGAAATGCTTTCCATTAAGAAACAATTGGAATCCCTTGAAATGAAGCCTTTTGCACAAAATGAAAGAAAATATTTCCACTGAAGATGTATGTTTGTTGAAACAAGAAAAAGTAAATCAATGCAAGCCCACTCTCTTGCGCCTAGTTGAGGTATTTGGGATCGGCATGTTGAGCAAATACTTTGCCGAGACCGCTTTATTGAAATAGAGACGATTTGTGATAGGGATGATGTGCCCATACATTATGAGGCCCTCATGAAAAGAAACTTTCACAAAGGATCTCGTTGAAGGGAGAGAGTTTTGCAAGGATGAGATGTGGATACAGGATGGGGCTCTTGTAATAGAAGTGCACGAGGAATCAGGTTACTGTTGAAAGAGAAACCTACTCAATGAAAGAGATTTGGAAGAGAATAGACTGATTCATTATACCTGCGTGACGTACATGTCAAAAAATAGATATCCAATCATACTGAAGCATACTCCTTTTTTATGACCTGGTTTCATGTTTCCAGCAAGCCATGTCATGTTTAAGTTTATAGGACATCCTATCGTGTGAAGAACAAGTTCTTTAGAACTCAGGGAAAACACAGCGACTCCTACTCAAATCAATAGGGTTCAGCAATGTTCCACACAGGTTTCTGTGAATTGAGCCGCTTTCCACTAAGGCTAATTTCAACTTTCAAAAGGAAATGGCAGTGTGCAATGCACAAAAGACACTATCATGATGCAGCGTGAGGACCTCACAAAAGGAAACATATTAAAAAAAATGACATGTTTCAAGAAAAAACATGGCAAGGATAAACTTGTGTAAGGATCAAGTATCGATCAGAGTTCAGATTTGTTCAGCTGTCAACTCATACTTGTACTGATGGTAATGATGAAAAGTCTTGATGCACACCAAAAAGGCCTGTTTTTTGCTTTGGTAGATGAACAAGACCCTAATAGAGATACAAAGAAGGTATCAAATTCTCACTTTCAGACAAGGACACCACGTGACAAGAAAGAACATCGCTTCAACATATAGGGGAAAACAGGACCTCTCTCTGTGGGACCCGCCTCGTGGCTCATCTCTCATTTGCCCATGGCAGCCGCAAACTCTGCACGGGACAGGCTGCCATCTCCATTGGTATCCATCTTGGTCAGCACAAACTCAACTCGCGTGCTTTCATAGACACATATGTGGACCATCTGCACAGAGTGCATCTGAAGTCGAATTAAATAGAAGCAAAACAAAAATGTGGTCCGGTTGTTCATGGACGATCATGTTGCAACACTTATTGCAGCGCTGATAATGTTGCAGCACTCGTTGCAGCACTGGTCCTTGAAATCCCACTGCTATGGCTAGCTGCTCTAGGTAAAAATGGTACAAAAACAACAACTGGAAGTCTAAGGCTCTAACCTTTGCGAAGAGGTCCTGGGAAAAAGAGTTATGTTGTAATTCAAAAGAATAACAATAATATCACTCTCAGACTTGCACCCATGTCAAATAATGCAGCCAAGCCACTTGCTGACCGGAAGTGGTTGTGTATTGCACAGGTGATGGTGCCAGGATGGCCGCCGATGGCACAAATGTTGGGGATGCAGCATATTGCACCGGTGCCCCATAGGTCTGTGGCGCACCATAGGTCTGTGGTGCACCATAGGTCACTGGCTGAGATGTATAGATGGGCTGCCCTGTGGTGTAGGTTGTCATAGGAGCAGAAGTGATGGTTTGGGCAATTGCAGCAGAGCCAGCCGTCGCTGTTGTGGCTGCTGGCGCTGTGACGTACACTGGAGGTGCGGTAATGGTTGCAGTCACAGGCACTTGTTGTTGAGGTGCTGAAGTGTAGATTGGCTGCGCCGCTGAAGCAGATAACCCAGTCGTCGTGTAAATTGGCTGTGCTGCCGAAGCAGATGCCCCAGTCGTCGTGTAAATTGGCTGTGCTGCCGAAGCAGATGCCCCAGTCGTCGTGTAAATCGGCTGTGCTGCCGAAGCAGAGGCACCAGTGGTTGTGGTGTAGATTGGCTGTGCTGATGCAGGTGCCGCATAGATCATACCTGCCTGTGGCGCTGGTTCCGGGGCCGCAGCAGGAGCAGCATAGATCATTGGCTGCTGGGGTGCTGGAATTGGCTCAGGGGCTGCAGCTGGAGCCGCATAGATCATGGGTGCTGGCGCTGGTTCAGGGACAGCAGCGGGAGCAGCGTAGACCATCGGCTGCTGGGGCGCTGCCGCAGGAGCTGCATAGACCATTCCAGGCTGCTGAACTGCGGCATAGCTTGTCATTGGCTGGGCTGCATAAGTCATCGGCTGCAAAGCAGACACTGACGAGATGGTTTGAGGCACAGCCGCTGAGCTGGTCATGGCAGGCATAGTTTCTGTGGTGACTGCAGGAGCTGTCACGTACACTGGGGGCGCAGTGTAGGTGGCCGTCACTGGAACAGGCTGTGGTTCGGCGGTGTATGCGGTCACTGGAGCACCATAGGTCACCGGAGGCTCCATGGCAGGTGCAGGCTCAGTGGTGACAGCAGGAGTGGTGAGGTACACTGGAGGTGCAGTGTAGGTTGCAGTTACAGGAGCAGGAGCTGAGTATGTTGCTGGCGCAGCTTCTGTGGTGACAGCGGGGGCTGTGACGTACACTGGTGGGGCAGTGATGGTGGCAGTCACAGGGGCAGGTGCAGCCGCGTACGTTGGTGGAGCCATCTCCGTGGTGACAGCCGGAGCTGTGACGTACACTGGCGGGGCAGTGATGGTGGCAGTCACAGGGGCAGGTGCAGCCACATATGTTGGTGGAGCCATTTGAGTCGTGGCAGCAGGGGCTGTCACATACACTGGAGGTGCAGTGTAGGTTGTGGGAGCAGAATAGGCCACGGGCTGAGTCACTGAGCTCACAGTCTGTGGAGCACCGTACATCACTGGTTGTCCAGTGGTATACGTCACTGGCTGCCCAGTTGTGTAGGTCGGCTGCCCTGTTGTGTAGGTCCCTGTTGTATAGGTCATCGTACCAGGGACGGCCGCTGCCTGGAAACCAGTCTTGGGCAACAGAAAAGCACCTGTCATGATTTGAAGGCGTTCAACAATGCTGAGGCATGCGCAACTCCTCCTTGCATCATCGCATTGAACTCCTGTTCAAGCCAGGCAGTTTCAACCCGGCCCCCTTTTCCACAAACAGCATCTTGAAATCAAGTCCGTGGCACAATCAAGAAGGGCACCAGCCCGTTTTTCCAGCTGTTGCTTCTCCCCCAGCCTCTCGGCTAATCTGTCCATCATTGTTGGCATCCATGGCAGCAAATGCATCCTGCCAAAAATGTCAGGTTCGCGTGCGAATGCTCCTTATTCAAGGAAAACATGATGTAAAAATGAAATCTAAATTTATCTACCTGCGTGGAAATATCACAACATGTAGAGGGGCATGGTCCGGTATATATGGCTCTAAAATCGGGACCTCCAGCCATTCTGTGGATGTGCTTGCAATATCCATTCAGGGGGCAACGTATCTCAGCTGCAAACTGGTTAATGCAAAGAGAAACATCCAAAAGCGGTCCGTGGCCATGGCTGCAAGTGCGGACGTGATAGACGCAATCTACACTCACTCGCTTTGCTCAGATCCGGAAAGCTTCACAGAATCTTGCAGGTCGGTGCGCAAGGCCACAGCGCACCGATGCGATGGCTACGTGATGGCTACGTCCGAGATCTCACTCCGTTCGGAACGCGATGCCCCAAATGTTCCGTTCGTAGCGTCCTTGTTACTAGTAGTAAGGCCAGGAGCTACTAGTACCGTCCTTCTTTAGTCGCAAAAACAGCGTTGATGCCCGCACCTAAACCATGTATGCACGACTTCACACAAACACGAACGACTTAACCCTGGCACCCAGTAGGGCTATGCTTTTCCTTCGCACGTAGTTTCGTGGTAGGGAAGTGATATTTGAGCCTGAAGTTTTAGCCTCAGAGCCACCTTTGGGCTCATGGACCAAACAATTTCTCAATCCGCGCTCGCATTTCCTCAGAACAGTAAATCAGACCTGCGAAGTCAGGGACTTCACTTGATGGTATATAGCTGCTCACAGCGCTTGAAATCGACTAAAACCTCGCCTCCCAAGCAGCTGTCATCTGGAGCTGGTGGAGCAGCTGTCTTCTGTGCAGTTGGAACCTGTTTCACTGTTTCGTCTATGTCGAAGAAAAAAGCGATCCTCTGTTGAACCACCCGGGCTCTGGCCATAATGACAGAGATATCGTCACAATACTCGTCCTCTTCCTTCCACTTTGCTCGAGCAACCTCCCACAAGGAAGAGTTAGAATGCAAGGCTTCCTTCTGCAAGTCTTCTGCCTGCCTGTGCCACTTCTCTCACAATGGCTTCCTTCGGCATGCCAACGGCCAGCTTGCCTCAGGGCACCCACGACATATTGCCTCAAGTCTAAGCCGCTAGCGAAAAAAAACCCTAGTAGTGTCCTTGTTACTAGTAGTATGGTCAGGAGCCCCTAGTAGCGTCCTTGCTCCTAGTAGCGATGCCCTTTGCTCCTAGTAGCAACCAAGGGGTGCAAAGGTTTTCAAGACACACCCCTTTGCACCCCTCTCTCTCATTTGTGTCGAGAAGCTCTGGACGATCTTGGCAATGTCATCGCTGCTCAAAAACTCCCAGACACCATCGCTCGCTAGGATGAAGTGGCCCGAGCTGTCAAGCTCCTGGAGTGGATGAAATGTGCATTGTTAATTTTGAATGTTCGTTCAAAAACCGCAAGGAAAGACCTTCTCCAGCTTGAAGATCTCTGGTTCAGCTATCACACCGAATCTTTTGTACCTGCGTCAGAGACACAGAAATACACGACGACCGTGCATTTCTGAGCAAAATGCAAGAAGCCGAGACACATTAAATCGCCCAAGGATCGAGTAAAGCCAAGCTCCGGCACTCTTCCACGTTCTCCCTCCACGCACTTAGCAAAGCAGGCAGTGAAATGTGTGGTTTTGTATGCTTTTGTTATGTCTTGGTGACAAACCGAATCACTGGCGCATTCCAACTCTTCCAGAAATTGCTTCAATGCCCGAGGTCAGCACAATCTTCTCCAGTTCCTCTCCATTCTCCGCCGCGCTGACGGTGATTTCACAGCCATGTCGGATAACGCGCTCACGCTCGACAGGATTGGAAGGCTTATGGTCGTTGGTTGAGAAAGACACCTTGCCATCGCCACAAAGATGAATCGCACGGGAGTCCCCAACGCAAGCGACCCAAACGATGGGGCTGTGGATTTGCCGGAGAATACAAACCACCGTGGTCCCAGCCACGAGCAAATTGATGTCATCTTGTTCCGCGGCAGACTCCAGGTCTTCTTCCATCCGTTCAAAGGCAGAATTCAATGCAGACTCCACCTCACCCTTGCACAGCAAACTTCGGCAATCCCGGGAGCTTAAAAAATACGGGAGTATCCGCACCACGCGATCCGAGACCCAATGACCCCCTGGCCCATGACCATCAGCAATACAATGCAGGCGAAAGCCTCCAGCTAATCGCGCACAACTGAAGTTGTCTTGCCCTGGGGAGAAGTCATCAATATCTTTGCAGCCCTTGCAGCAAAAAGCTGCTATATCATGTCTAGCCTCAGATCGAATTTGAAACAAGACTGGCACTGCAGCGCAGCTGAAGAAGAAAACACAAACAAACTGATTGTGATGCCACGTGACCAAAACGCTTTCGCCAGACTCCCGCGACCTGTGGTCGGCCACGTCTCCAAAAGCAAACGTTGAAGCACAGGACAGGTGAGAAACTAGGGGGACGCCTTGGCAAAAGGCCAAGCTTGCGTTCTTGATATGGCTCTTCCCAGGTTGACATCTTACTATGAACCTTGAGCAGATCAGCCAAGTGAGGGTGTCTATCAAATCAGAAGTGCTTGTACGTGCTCTATCAAGCTCGGCCGAGGGCGAACCAAAGGCCACTCCTTATATCATACAAGTTTGACAACAGGAAGCGAAAGTCAAACATGACGTCTGAAGCCGCAATGGCCTCTGTTGCCAGAAAGCTTCAAATTGCTCCAGACCTGCCGGAGTTTTCTCTCCGTCACTTCGTCGTCCAAGTTGGCGAAGAACTTCTCCTAGACCAACTGAGCATGCGCAAGTGCACAACACATCACAACGACCAATTCGAACTTATACCTCGCTAGTAGGTTGGAGGCCATCGCTCTTAGGTAACCCTGGCTCGAAAAAAACATCAATTCACGACCGTTGGTCCTTGTCTTCTTCATTAAAGTTGTCCTTCGAGATCACCTCTCGTTCCTTGGTCGACATCCGAAAGCAGGACTAGAAATCCCTCAATCTATCCTATTCTCTCAAAAACACCATTTTGAAGAATTGAAGAAACCTCCAGCATGTCAACTGAATAGATTGCAAAAGAATGGTTTGCCAGCTTCAACGGGTTCATAGCATCGTCACTCCGTTACATACAACAAATGTCAACTTGTGTTTAAGTTTAAACCGTGGAATCATGGTGAATCATGTACATGCTGGCTTCAAATTCTGGTTCTGAACCATAGAACTGTGTAGCCAATGATTGTGTGCTTCCGAGACACTAGATTGTAGAAGGATCGACGACTCTTGAGTCTGGAGCCCCTTAGTTGAACCATCTTGGCTCCTAAAGATTCCAAATGGTTCCCTAACATTCTTGGCCTCCAACCATTGAGAATCCGCCTGTGCAGACGCCATCTGGGCCAAAAAAGTCAAAGACAGCAAACCTGTTTGGCAGGTTTGGATTTCAGTGTGCAGCTCGTGTTGACCGCTCGTTTGGGTCACAGCGGTCAATGACTCAGCCGTGGCTAGCAAGCGAACACATGAGCACGACACCTTTTTGGTGGCTTTTGGCAGATCCGCTGGATAGGGTCCACAGACATGTGCTGCATGTGCAGGTGGATCTCTATGTGCAAGACTGGTCAAAGCCAGCATCAGAGAAACTCTGGAATTGAGAAGGACCCCTGGCAGTCGTACTCATGAGTAGTCCTTGATAATTCAACCAGATATATGACTTGAGTTAACAGTTACAATTTACAAGTGTTATACACCATTGGACAAAGAAGACCAGCAACGCACCGCGCGTGCCCTGCTCAGAACTTGAACTTGGTCTTTTCCTGCAATGGAGGAGTGGATCCCCAGGTTTTGCAAATCTGACTAAGGTGTGTATGTGTGTGTGTGTGTGCCTCCATCTTCAAAATCAGATCCTTTGCGTAAATGTACTCCAGCAATAGAAGGCTGCGCTAAAGGTATCACCAGAAAACTCTATGCTGGGCCAATGAAATGGAAAAGCATTGAAAAGACTTCGCACCTACATGACTACAAGCTTCAAGCTTCGCACCTACTTGGCAACTACAGTTGAAGCTGATGGAGATGAATGTATGTTGTTCTTCTTTTGGATGACTGTTTCCATCTTTTTCAAGAACGACGGACATCGTTTCCGCGTTTCCGCTGCGCGGAAAGCTGGTCCTTTCTCTTCTTGGCTGGCTTCGCCACGGTTTTCTTCTGCTCCACCTGGCCGCTGCTGAGCTTCGGCCAAAACGATCATGGATCCCCTGGAGCGGCGGAAAACCTCCGTCGCAGGACGTGCCCCACGTTCCCCACGTTCACGTCCGGCCTCTTTCTGACCAGCAGCCAGTTTTGCCTTGGCCGCTGCCTCTTCATGCTGCTTGAGCTGCTGGCCTCGGGCTTCAAGAAAGTCTCACGATCTTCATGGAGATCTGCCAGGGGTTTGGTTGTATCCACCAGGTTTCCAACGAATGATGTCTGCCGTGAGAATACCTTCAGTCTCAACCTGCAGAATTGAGGAAGTTCATGTCTCTGGCAAAGCAAACTCATCAGCTTGATGCATTCACCTCACCTGCTCGGGGTTCAGGTTCATGGTCACAGGCCCAGGAGTGTCTGCTCCTCCCACTGGAGTTGGTGCCTGGAGTTGGTGCAAACTAGCTTGGAACGGGACATTTGGAGCAGGCTGAGAAAATGGCTCCAGGGATACCAGTCGGAGTGGACACGCCGCCGACAGGCGTGGCCTCTGGCAAAAAAAACTCTGAAATAGTTGTGACTTGGCAAGCTCACAAGCTCCTACAAATACAGCCTCTTGTGGCAAACAACCACTGAGGTAAAGGCAACCCCTGCCGGCGTATGCTGCCCAACAGGTGTTGCAATACCGCCCACTGGCGTTGCCTGGGATGAAAAACGAAGAAAGGCAAAAACACGTTTGAAACGAGAAAGCTGCCAGACTGTCTGCATCCATGGGGCAATGCCACCCACTGGTGTGGCAATGCCACCCACTGGAGTGGCAATACCACCTTCCAAGCGTCAACAAGCGCTTTTTGTTCAGTTGCGTCCTTGCTCCTAGTAGCGATGCCAGGAGCCCCTAGTAGCGTCCTTGCTCCTAGGAGCCCCCAGTAGCTTCTTGTTCCTTTAGTAGCGGCTGAAAGATTGACTCACGTACACTGGCCAGCCTACTGGAGTTGCAATGCCACCAACTGGCCTGGTGATTGGTCAGTTAATGCAAAGTGTCTGCTGCGCTCAAGACGCAAAAACCAGGTTCTAGCTTGAAGCAAGTGACGTCTGAACGCCGCCACCCACAGGTGTGCCAATGCCGCCAATTGGAGTGCCAACCCCCGGAGTGCCCATTCCAGGCGTCCCTGTGCCAGTTCCTGTTCCTGTGCCATGGCCTGGAGGCGAGCCATGTCAAAAGGTCAAGAATAAAGGAAACTACTGCGGGAGTTTCCTCAAGATCCAGATTCTGATCCCATTGGCAAATTCTACTGAGCTGGGAAACTTGTTTTGATCACCCTCGTCGTGACGGGTGACTGCACACTTTAGCCACACCTGCTGAGCCAACACCCAAAGGAGTGGTGATTCCATGAGGCGTCCTTCGACTTTCGCGCAGCGTTCGCGTTCGCGTTCGCTGCGTTCGCAAGCTCTGCACTCCGGCCTCTGTCTTTAGCCATTTTCCCTCAAGGTATAATAATGGGAATAAAATGTCCGTCGGGGTACACGTGAAAGAGTTGTCTTCTTGTAAGTTGGGTTCAGGTTTGGATATTTGAACATGCAAAGAATGTTCTTCGTATGGCGGGCTTTAACCTTCTTTGCATTAAATCTGTCTGTTTCATTTACGAGATAAAAGGTGTGCTAAAGTGAGCTTCTGAAACTGGCAGTGCCGTTGGCTGTGGATCCGGCAACCATAGAGATCGGTTGGGATGAGATGAGTCAACAAGGAAAAGAAAGTGTGAGACAAAGGACGCTAGAACGGAGCAAAGGGCATCGCTACTAGGAGCAAGAACGCTACTAGGGGCTCCTGGCCGTACTAGGACGCTATTAGAAACAGCACACAAGAAGAACCATGTCCTCGTCCCCATACCAGGTGTACCAATCCCGTGCGGCCTCGGCCACCGCGGATTCATCACGCGGTTCCGGCGGATTCCTATGGATTCCTATGGTTTCTCCTTCAATCTGAGTCCATATTGCAGCTTATTGCACCAGAGTGCTCCTACTAGCGATGGCCTCTAGAAGTGATGGCCTCCCTAAGTGCCCAACGTCCCAATGCCATGCGGCGTGCCAATGCCAGCGATTGGAGTACCTGGTGTTCACTGCCATGTCTGCGCCGATTGGAGGACTTCAAAAATACACCAAACTCTAGACCCCATTGGCGTCGCACCAATTCCACCAATTGGTGTTCCAATGCCAGCCAACCTCACAGGTCAGAACGTGAGGCTTCCCTAGAAGCAGATCCAACGATCTGGACCTGGATGATCAGTCACGATCATTCTAAAGGCATCTAAAGGCCAAGCAGCACATGTCTGTCATCTCCCCATCCTCCCCACACTTCCCGCGTGTACACTTGGCATCGCTACTAGTAACAAGGGCATCCCTACTAGTAGCTAGAAACACTAGTAGCTCCTGATATCGTTACTAGTAAAAAGGGCATCGATACTAGTAATAGTAGCTAGTAGCTACTAGTAGCTCCTGGCATCGCTACTAGTAACAAGGGCATCGCTATTAGTAGCTAGAAACACTAGTAGCTCCTGGTATTGTTACTAGTGACAAGGGCATCGCTACTAGTAGCTAGAAGCTACTAGTAGCTCCCGCCATCGCTACTAGAAACAAGGGCATCCTACTAGTAGCTCCTGGCATGGCTACTAGCAGCAAAAGCAACGCTACTAGCAACAAGGGCATCGCTACTAGTAGCTCCTGGCATCGCTACTAGCAGCAAAAGCATCGCTACTAGCAACAACAGCATCGCTACTAGTGACTAGTGCCCTGTGGCGCTACTAGTAGCTCCTGGCATCGCTACTAGCAGCAAAAGCATCGCTACTAGCAACAAGAGCATCGCTACTAGTGGCCTGTGGAGCTACTAGTAGCTCCTGGCATCTCTACTAACAACAAAAGCATCTCTACTAGTAACAAGGGCATCGCTACTAGTGGCCTGTGGCGCTACTAGTAGCTCCTGGCATCGCTACTAGCAGCAAAAGCATCGCTACTAGCAACAAGGGCATCGCTACTAGTGGCCTGTGGCGCTACTAGTAGCTCCTGGCATCGCTACTAACAACAAAAGCATCGCTATTAGTAACAAGGGCATCGCTACTAGTGGCCTGACATCGCTACTAGTAACAAGAAGCCAAAAAGCTACGACCCTATTGGCATCTTTTCCTCGCCGAGAAGCGGAGTTCCGGTGCCCGAGCTGCCCACACCGCCCATCGGCGTGGACGAGCCGCCGCCGCTCCTAGCATGAACCGTGCGGCACGTGCAGGCAAGCGTCAAATTGGTGTCGTGCCAAGTAGAGAGATGTTTGGTTGCAAAGAAACGCATGAAAGCGCATAGTCACATATCATATCAATTCATATCCAACCTGTCCAATTTCCTGACGCAACTCCTGCTCACTGACGGAACCTCTTTTGTGGAGCCTTTGACTTCTGGATGTTTCGATGTGTTTCATGTGTCAAGCAGACTCCCCCAGCTCTGCCTGCTCCCCACTTTGTAGGTGTGAGAGGTAGGGTACACCTTGGACTTTTCAGGTCAAAAACAGCCGACATCACCCTTTGGCTCGTCCTGGACTCACCTGGTGGGACTCACCATGTACGCCGACTCTTGGTGCCCAACCCCTTTCTTCGCTGATCTCGACTTCTGCTCTTCCAGGACCTTCAGATTGACAGACAATTGCATGCTTCCCTGAAGCGAACAATGCCCTAAGGAACTCAATGAAGCTGAAGAATGCAACGGCCCTCTCTTTTTTCTAACACAATCGTAACATCCAGTCATCCAGTCCTATCAAGTCACCCTGTCCTATCCATGTTCGCTCATACCTCTTTTTGCGAAGCGTACTTAAATGTCAAACTGAGCTTTCAGCCTGGAAGAGTTGTGGTGTGGGAGTCAAGGACGCAGAGCTAATTCCACTCACCTCGATGATCCAAACGATCCAGCCAACAAAAAGGGCTGTGCCAGGTATACAAAGGGTACTGGTCCGAGCGCTTTCAGGTGCAATCCACGTGGCATGCTGATCTGAAAAAGGAGAAATCTGACACCCAATGGCAGGGGCGGCGAAAGGGGTGGCGCAGGGGGATGGTCAGTGGCTTCGAAGATGCGGATGGTGGGTGGAGGGTCACGGTCCATTGGGAAAGGGAATCAACCAATGCAGACCACAATGGGGCACTGCTGCGGAGGCTGATCAACAATCGAACATGGCCTTCAAGTTACTCATCAGCTTCATTCATTCGGATGATAGCATGCAAAGGTTGCTCAAATCAAGTCGCCCAAAAAAATAAGTCTTAGCCTTTTCAAGGCTCTGCCAGTTCGGCCCGGTGGCTCAGCGGAATGCCAATCTTGCCATGTCACGGATGCGATGCCCCCCTTCTTGCTGCGAGTGCCAGTTCCAGGCCTTGTTGCAAGTGCCCGCACTTCAGCTCTGACACCGGATTTTGCACCAGTGAAACGGAGCCGCGGAAGGTCAAACGACCATCTTTTGGCCACCCACTGACTCTTACTTTTCTTTTGGTTAGCTTGTCTTGTCAAGTTGTCAACGGACTCAAACGAACTAAAGATTCTACTGCAAGAACAAAGAGCTGACCTAGGAACCTGACGTGTCCATTCCACTTGTAATGGACGAAACCCCACTGATGCTGTGAACACCACCTGACCTGAGCCCAGCAGGAAGCTTGTGGCAACATGATTGGTCGAGTCATTGTAAGGGTCGTCCAACTATACTATTCAAACGGAAGACGTATATCTGTTTCAAATACAAAAGTTAGAATGGATTTACATATCGTGCATCCTTTTTGCCGACTGACACTGATACCTTTCAGATTGTCCAAATTTACATGGGCCGATGAAGATTCGCAGAACCAATCAATGAAGAAGACTCTCCCATAGGAATAAGTGCTGCACACCACAGGGGTCGCAGAGCCGGAACCCACCAGTGGAGTCGCGGTGCCCAGCATTGGAGTTGCTGTGCCCTCACCCCTTAGAGAGATCAAAATGGCCCAAGGGAAACCAAGGAAGCCATTTCGATCTGGAAGCGAAGCGCACAGCTCTCTGAGCTCTCTGAGACTTCTGAGTTCCTGTCCTCTCGGCCTCTACTTCCTCGTCATCTTCCTCTACAGCTTCCAATTGTGGAGAGTCGAAAAGAATTCACAACTTGTAAACATGCCTCCTCCTCGAAGTCGTCCACTTCACCCCACAAGGTCATGTCCTCTGACAGCACAGCAACTTTACAAGACTGCAAGTCTTTTCAGTCAGACAATGTGACAAGATGAGTCCTCAGGCGCTGATGGAGTAGGAGCCTCCATCAGTGCATGCAACAAATCAATTGCAAGAAAGAAAGGGTCAGGAGGCTCAGGAACATTGCCTGGTCCGCCTTCCAGTCGCCATAGAGAGGGTTTCCAAACCTCATGGTCACACACAAGCTTTGCAGTCAGCTGAAGTGACACTTTCCAGGTTGATAGAACTGAGTCAAGCACTCATCGACCGGTGGCTTTCCCCAACCTCCAGGGTGGTATCCATACTCCGCACCCTGGCAGATGGTCTTGAGACTGCAAAGAGACGCCAGGGTGTCTCACGGTACGCGTCTATTGAACAATAAAATGTTGGAGACCCTCCAATGAGCTACCTAAGAGCGATGGCCTCCAACCCAAGAGCGATGGCCTCCAACCTAAGAGCGATGGCCTCCAACCTAAGAG